CCCGAGGAACCTCAGGATCCTTCCGGCTGACATTTGGGGAGCTGGGGCCAGGCTGTGGGAGTGGATGCTGGAGCCTCTGATGAGGGGTTACAACGTCCCCTGACACGGAAGATGCTGTATTTGGGAACTTTCTCCTGAGAGGCCAGATTAGAGCCTTCACCATGACCTTTAGGACTTGGCTGGACCTTGCCAGGAAACTTGAGGTGGAGAGGTCACCAATGTCACAACAGAAAGCAAGCAAGAACAGGGAAGGAGGCTCAGGGGACCTGGGAGGTTGGATGGGATGGAAACCTACACACACACACACACACACACACACACACACACACACATGAATTGGAGACGTGAGGGCCAGCTGCTCTGAGAGGGGTCCACACGACTAGTCGACCTGGAGGTGGTGAGAAAAGACGCCACATGGGAGTTTGTGGCCCCAGTGGGAGAGTCACACAGGCTGTAAATGAGGAAGGCCTCCATGCAAAGAGTAGGGAAGCGAGTGTCCTTGAAAAACAGCACCAGACGCGGCAGAGACAGACATGGCTCCCCAGCACTCATGACAGGAATGGTCAGGACACTTCAGAATTCCTAGAGCTTCTGGAAGGATAATAGACTCCAGGCTTCCAGCTGTTGACAGGAGAAAAGAATGGGGGCGCCAGGCCCCTGCTGGGAGCTGGGACCGTGACCCCAGCCCCTCAGGCTATTCCCTCCACTGGCCCCTCAGTGCCAGGGGCTGCGGCACATAACCAGTGCCCAGACACCAGGGGGGCCACCTCTCCCTTGGCATCCAGTCCTGGGCATGCGTGAGGGGCCAGATCAGCAGAGCCACCCCCTGTCCAAGGCCACAAAGGGAAGTTGAGTCACCTGTCCCCGTGCCAAGACTGTCCCTGGCCAGCATGACCCCAGTCTCTGCCCAGGTCCGGCCTGTCTAGCACAGGCACAGGCCAAGGCTGGGGTCCTGCGCTCTGGTTCCAGCCGAGAAACCAGGGCGCCAGGCCAGGCCAGACGATCGGGGAGCAGCCAGTTAGCTGCCCCACACACTGCCCCAGGACTGTCACTGTGGCAACCAGAAAGGCCACAATGACGGTCCATCATATAACACCAAAACATTCCCACTGGTATGGCTGCAACCCACAGTGCACGTTCCCATCCCCGCTGATCCTGGATGAGAACCGGGCCAGGGCTCTGCAGCCCCGACTTGCTCTCTGGCCTGCCAACCCCGGGGTCCTGAGGGGTGGCGCCGCTCCCGTCATCGTTC